AAAAAAAAAAAAACAATTTGGAATAAGATGGAAATGATAGGGATGCCTAGGTGGCTCAGCTGGTTGGTTAAGCATTTGCTTTCCGCTAAGGTCACGGAGCCTGCTTTTCCCTCTCACGCTGCTGCTCCCCCTGCTTGTGCTCTCTTGTGCACGCTCTCTCTCTCTCTCTGCCAATAAATAAAATCTTTAAAAAATAAAATGGAAAGGATAAAGAAAAAACACCTTCCTATACCAACACATTAACATTGGGGCAGAACTCCCTCACCCATACACACACAGAATTTTTGCGATACTGAGATTTTTATGATATGCGCAGAATTGTTGGGGGGGATATTGGGTGTCTTATCTGGTTTACACCCAAAACCTTAATTTGGGTGGAGCATATGAATATCTGGATAAAAGGGTCATGTCCTAAAATATAGCTTGCAAATGTATTGTCAGCAATCCCTTCTCTAATATTCTATTCCATTTTCAAGGTGAGCATCCTTCTCCTTATGGGTAAGTATAGGCTAACGGGAAAAAAAAATTTGGTTTGTAAAAACAGAAAGGTTGGAGGGGTATTTTGTGAAATTTGTAGTGATGAAAGTGGACAAAAGGCATAAAGATAACTTTCTCCCCATACTCGGGGCTATACCAACTTACTTGAAATTTGGTTCCTGAGCAGAGACACATTTGACTAAAACAAAAATAATAAGCAAGCCATACAATATGGTATTGGCTAATTAGTAAAATTCTTTGGAAAAAAAACATTTCATCATTTTAAATATGCATATGACTTAGAAGAAAGATATTTAGTGCTAAGAGTAATCCCCAATTTGATATTAAACCATATATATCAGACTATTGAGTACATGGTCTATGTTTCCTGATGTTTCACAGTATACTACAGGAGGCTGCAAGCAGCAGTGTGGTCTAACTAGCTTTCAAATATAAAATAATCAGAGCCAGAACATTATGGTCAGACTCTAGCTCTACTACATAATCTTGGTCAAGTCACTTAATCTGTGTGTGTGTGTGTGTGTGTGTGGTTTTTAATGTGAAAATACGTAGAATAATATGTTCATCTATTTTTACAGGGTACTTGTAAGAATGAAACTAAAATAGGAAAACATAGAAAACTACACATTGCTGTCTGTGTAACTAAAGAGAACCTCTCCTAGTGTTAAATACGGTGATGGAGGGAAAACTTTAGGGAAAGCAAGAAATGAACAAAGAATGGCTGAGTGGCAGTGACAGGGCCAGCAGTTGGATGCTGTCAACTGTTTTGTTTTTTTTTTTTTGCAAAGATTTTATTTATTTATTTGACAGAGAGAGACACAGAGAGAGAGGGAACACAAGCAGGGGGAGTGGGAGAGGGAGAAGCAGGCTTCCCGTGGAGCAGGCAGCCCGATGCGGGGCTTGATCCCAGGACCCTGGGATCATGACCTGAGCTGAAGACAGATGCTTAAGGACTGAGCCACCCAGGTGCCCCTGTTTTTTTTTTTCTTTAAGTTTTATTTATTTAAGTAATCTCTACACCCCAAGAGGGACTTGAACTCACAACCCAGATCAAAAGTCCCACTCTTCTGATTGAGCTAGCCAGGCACACCAACTGTCAACTATTTTAAAACAGTCTCCAGCACATGTAGCTCTTTGATAGTGGAAACTAAAGGATAAGACTGCTGCAGCTCATATTGCTAGGGTAAAAATAAAAATTTTAAGTCAATGCACTCCTCGTGGAAGAAACAAATATCTGCTATCCAAAAAACAAGTTTCAGGTATTTTTTTAAGACAAGTGATTCAAGTCAGAAATAAAAATATAAGAAAGAAAGAAACAGCCTGGTTCTAGACGGCTGTCCTCCTCTAGGAAATGATACCACCGAGAGCAGATTGAGCCGCGCGGCGGCAAGCTCTTGGTACTGGAGTCTTGGACCAGCCTTGCCCGAGGACTTAGAGGCCCCCTATCCTAGTAAAAACTACAACTCCCAGAAATCCCGGGCCCAGAAGGGGGCGGAACCAACGGTGTGTAGGCGGGGCCTTCAGAGCGAGCTGTGAACTTCTCCCGCGAGGAACTTCTCGAGAAGTGGCGGGAGCGGCGGCTATGGAAGCACAGGAAGAGAAAGAGGCGCAGGTGATGGGGCGGGATCGGGGATTTGTGGCCTCCTGGAGACGGCATCCTTGACACACTCTCCCCGTCCGCGGATCGCCTGGGCACATCATGTTTAGTTTTTTCCTACTCCTACTCCGCTGGCCCATCTTTGGTCCCGCCTTCACGACCTGCGAGCCCCACTCCGCTTAGACCCCCGGGAAAGGGCGTTTCCCTTCCTTCCCGGGGCTTTCCTTGCTTGGACTCAGGCTTGGAGAGCGGTTGAGGAGCCCCTTGGCACGAGATACCTCTCAGCCGATTGGAGTGGGACTTCCGAATCCAAAGCCACTTTCCAGCCAAACCTAACCGTTCACTGCTGCTTCCTAGTAGGATTTTCACACTTGACCTTCCTCATCCTGCATCCCTACTCTAGGTGCCTCTGGGTACAGCGGGTTTTTTGGTGTGTTGAGGGCAACTCTTTTTTCAGACTTTGCACGTATAAATATGCTTTGGCACCTTCATACTGAGCTTAAAATCATTCGAGTGATGCAAATTATTAGCCTATACCGCTTTGTAGCTTTAGGGAAGGGTGGATTGTCTTCTGATTTTGTTCATTGGGCTTGCTCACTTGTTTCCTGACATCTGGTATCTATCTCCGTAAAGACAAATTATAATGTGAAGTAAGTAGGTTGCCAGAATATTTCTAGAGAACATTTTGTTTGCTTCTGATCACTTCTTTCTCATATTTGCTTCATGCTATTACAATAAACAAGGCTTATAATACTTGCTTTTCTTTTAATGGTTAGGTTGCTGCGTGGTTGAAAAAAATATTTGGAGATCACCCCATTCCGCAATATGAGGTGAATGCTCGGACCACGGAGATTTTACATCACCTTTCAGAACGCAACAGGGTTCGGGACAGGGATGTCTACTTGGTAATAGAGGACTTGAAACAGAAAGCAAGTGAATATGAATCAGAAGGTGAGATTAATTACAGAATTTTGAATGAGCTAATAACTCGAGGTAACTACATTTTATAACACCAAAGAATACAAAATTAATTTAGTGTAGACTGCTTGTTAGTTTTGCTTCTTATTTCACACAGATTTGCCTCCCACTCCATTATATAGCAACTTAATAAGCCATAAATTTAATTGTAATGTAAATTTTATTGGTACTCTGATACCATATAGTAACCCCTAAAACATGTGTCTAAACTTAGCCTGACATAAAAGCCTTTGGTTTTTCACTTATGTATCTTTCTGGTCTGTTTCCGGGCTCCATGCTTTTGTTTAAGGAGCCATCAGGACATCTGAGGTGGCAGCCATGAACTGCAACACTTGAACAAATCAGGTTATCACTGTGTATTCATGGGATTGCCTTAGAATTTTCTGCTGTGCATATGTGTCTTGAAAAAGTGCATTCAAGACACCTGTTGTTTTTATAATACAAACTACACACAAAAGAATTGACAAAAACTTTCTATAGGTTGGAATATACAAAAGAGCAAGAGAGTGAGACTTACAATTGCCCTGTATTTAATTATGTGTGTGGCGTGTGTTACATGCAATGTTTTGAATGTAGTACAGTTTATATTGTAATTCTACTATGTATGGGCTTTTTCAAATTTTCTTTTAAAAATTAACATACAGCAGGGTGCCTGGGTGGCTCAGTTGGTTGAGCGACTGCCTTCGGCTCCGGTCATGATCCTAGAGTCCCTGGATCGAGTCCCGCATCGGGCTCCCTGCTCAGCAGGGAGTCTGCTTCTCCCTCTGACCTTCTTCCCTCTCATGCTCTCTCTCTACCATTCTCTCTCTCTCAATAAATAAATAAAAATCTTAAAAAAAAATTAACATACAGCAAAATTGACTTTTGGTTTTGATTCACTGCTTTCAGCATATATATTACATTTCTACGATATGTAGATAATATGTATATTTATGCAATTGCTTTTTAAATCAGGAGAAAAAATATGCATGTATGCTCTTTATAATTCTATAACTACCTTTCT